GAACAGTGCTTTGCATGTAGTGTGATCAATCAGATATCTGTTGCTTTTTGTTCTGCAAGTTCTTCCTCTTTCTACTCCTTGGTGCTGCTGCTACTGATCTTGCTACTACATCAACAATAACTGCTGCTGTTACTACTACCACTACTACTGCCACTGCTACGTACTACACTACTACTGATGACTGCTACTTACTACTTATTATTTACTATTATGTACTCTGAATACTACCACTGCTACTGCTACTACTGCTGCTGCTACTACTACTGGTAGTATTACTGCTGCTATTGCTACTATTACTACTGCTATGCTGCCACTGTGACTTTCTTACATTGTTTAGAGATTCTAGTTCATGTTATAGTTTGTCGTTATTGTAATGGCATCTCTAATTGCCTAAGAATGTTTGCCTTGCCCTGGCCGGTTTAGCTCAGCGGTTAGAGCATTGGCCTGCGGTCCAGAGAGTCCCGGGTTCGGTTACCGCTAAGGGCACATACCTCGATTGCAGTTTGTCCCTGACCCAAGTTGGGGTTGTGTGGGTGGCAGCCAGTTGATGTGTCTCTCTCACATCGCGGTTTCTCTCTCTCTCATCCTCCCTCTGTCCCTCCCCCTCTACCTGAAGATAAATGCAAAAATGTCCTCAGGTGAGGATTTAAAAAAAAAAAAAAGAGTGTTTGCCTTTAAGTGGCTAATAGCATTTTTCTATTTTTTTAAAATATGTTTTTGTTGGTTTTTTAGATAGGAAGGGAAAGAGATAGAAACATCAATGTGAGAGAGAAACATTGATGGGCTGCCTCCTGCACACCCCCTGCTGGGGATCGAGCCTGCAACCTGGGCATGGTGCCCTGATGGGAATTGAACCAGGATCTCTCAGTCCATGGGATGATGCTCAATCCACTGAGCCACACCAGCCATGCCATTTTTTCTATCTTTCTATTTATACCTCTATCTCACTGTGTTCAGGTTCTATTACTGTATGGGTCATCCAGTTTCCTCTTTCCAAACTTACTTGTCTTTTACCTGTGCTCTTAATAATTTCATAGATAATTTAATTCTTGGTGTTAATGGCCGATAATGACTTTATATGTGAACAAATTTTTACATTGACCCCAGAGACTTTATCATTGTAAAGTTCAAGAGTAAAAATCTGTAATTTATTGCCTATGATGTTTTCAGTCATTTCGTGTGACTCTCTGTATTAAATGTACTCTTCTATCCCCAAATAGTATAGGTTTTGTAGTTCCCTTTTTTCTAGAAAAGTTATCGTGAATTCACTGTGGTGTGTGTATTGATTTTTCAATGTTCTGTAATCGTTACCGGTCATCATCGGGAAGCCCAGGTATTCGCAGGCTGCTAGGGAGGTGTCTCCACTCTGGCTGGCTGGGCCTTCCACGTCTCCCAGCACTGTCTAATCTGCTGCATCTGTTGTATTTTCTGGCTCATAGCAGCCTTGCTTTGTTCTTCACCCAGTGGTGCACCGGGTGCCCTGCATGCACACACATCTCAGTCCGTGGTTAAGGACTGGAAGGGGATCCCGCTGGGCAGCTCCCACTTCCCTTGTGCCCTGTACTTAAGATTCCAGCTTCTTCAACTGTCCTGAACTCTGACCTTTGCTTCCTTAGCTCAGCAGGGCTGCAGGGCTCTACCACACTCGGTCGGGTCGTTCCCACGCAGAGCGGTGGACTCGAGTGGGCTCCGCTCGTGAGGATGACGGGATTGCGCGGCCGCTATCTAACACCTAAGAGTGGTTACCTCATTCATTTTCCCCCTTTTCGTGGTGGTTAATGGGGAGGTGAGTGCAGTACTAGTTACTCCACTTTAACCTGAAGTGGATCTCCATGCTTCTTAGTGATTTCTTAGGCTGAAATCACTAGTGTATGTTCTAAGCCCAGTTAAAGAAAACTTAAATGTTGTTTGGGGTCAGTTACGTGGAGGTCAAACAAATTAGAAATGTTATGTTTAGCCTTTTAATTTCAGCCTTTTGTGTTAAACTAAATTAAGCAAGGCCATTTACGGTCTTTTATATGTACATAGAGGGTGGGGCAAAAGTAGGTTTAGAGTTGTTCCTATGGAAAATAATACTATAATTAATAAATAATAATACAAGAATAGACTGTGTATTTTACTCACAACTATAAACCTACCTCTGCCCCACCTGCATATGGATGTGTATATAGACGCACACATGTGTATCTGTATTTATATCTATCTCTATACCTTGTATCCTGCGTTTTCTTTATATACTACACTACTGCAGTAGCTTCAGTATTCTAATCCTGATGGCTTATCATGAATCATGCTCTAGAGTCCAGGGCAGAGACAGAGCTATTCTGTGGTGTCAAGGTAAGTTTTCAGAGAAGAGAGACTATTCTTGTAAAGGATGCCAGTAGAGAAACATTTTCTTTAGACTACCCTTATAATAACTTGGTGCTCACTATTGCAGCCAAGTTTTCAAACCTCACACTAACAATATTGGGACAAACCAGTCTTCTCCTAATAAGACGGAATGAAAAAGGACACAATATCACTCTAGTGCCACTCTTGCGAAAGTCTAATTAGTCTAATCATGAGGAAACATTAAACAAATCCAAATCGAAGGACATTTGATAACTGGCTGTATGCTTCAAAAAGTCAAGATCAAGAAACCAAAAGAAAAGCTGTTTCAGATTAAAGGAGATGTAGTTGAAATGACAACTAAAGGCAACACATGATCCTAAGTTATAACCTCGAGTGGGAACAATAGCTATAAATGTCATCATTGTGATGATTGATAAAACCTGACTGGAGACTGTGCGTTAGATACTATTATTGTATTAATATTCTATTTCCTGATTATGATAACTGCTCTGATTTTGAAATACAGAGTCTTTGTTTTAAGGAAATAGACACTGAGGATTTTAGGGATAAAGAGGCATTCTGTCTCTAACTTTCTTACACATGGTTTAGGAAATAGTTTGCGTGTATATCCATGAAGATATAGATATAAAGTGATAAAGCACAGGAGGGAGAATGTAGACAATTGGTGAATCTGGGTAAAGGGCATATGGGACCTTGTGCTATTATTGCAACTTTTATTTCAGTTTACTATTATTATACCAAAGTAAAAATTCATACCAGAATAATAGAATTTACATAAATCTCTTTGGTAGTAAGAACAGAGATTCATCAAGCTACCTAAAATAAGGAACACAGAAATTCTTTTGAGTTCAAGTACACCTAGTGTCATGGAGACTACTGGGACCTGAGGTTGCTTACTTCCTATTTCAGATGCTGTGTGGTTTCGAGATTTTGCTGTGTTTGTGTACGTATTTGCTTTCTTCTGTATGCGGGATTCATCTGCTTTCTCTTGGTTGCTGCTCCTCTAGAGCTTGCTGTCTTCATTCAAATTCTCTTTCTCTGAATGATTGTTCTCTAGCTAATGATTACTTAAGTATGTGTCAAGTGTTTATTCCTAATCTGGTCAACCAAAGTTGAGGTGGAGCAGGTGGGAAGCGGTGAGTTGGTTTATAGCAGCACAGTTGCATGGTTTTTAGGGCTGACCCTTAGAAGCTGAGGGTATGATACATTTTTAAGGTATTATGGAAAGATATGGTGATAAATTTCCCTATATCTTCCCAGTTTTGTCATATTACATTTTTGTGTCTGATTTCTTTTTACTAGTCCCCCAAAATGCTTCTGTTAAGGATCTTCACATGGACTTAGGCCACCCAGCCCCCCCTTTCTGCTAAAATGAAGAAACATCAACATTAGAGGCAAGAGAATGGAAACATTCAGATTTATTTCTTTTGCATAGTAAATGGATGACTGCCTCCCTCTCCACCACCTATACCATTTAAAAATAATGAATCTGTTATGTTAATTTTTATTTGTAAAGTTTTATAATTTCATTTTGGTATGTTGATGTGATCATGCATGTTTATCCTAAGTTCAAATTCATTGTTTTTTTTGGAGCAGTAATTGAAAAATGTAAAGTATATTTTTAAATTTTCAAGAAAAATGTTTTGCTAGTACATTTGTAATATTTTAAAAGAAAATTTTCTTAATGGTTGTTGACTAACATTTTTTGTATAGCTACTTTGAGAAAAAACATTGTATGGAGTATAGTTACTTAAATGGTATCATTAAATGTAAGTTCCACAATTCATAAGGATAATTATCCTTAATTAGCCAAAGAGGAAATAGAATCTCAAAATGATGACTTGCCCCAAATCACAGCAGCTAATACATAGTGGGATTAGAACTAGAGTTAGAAACGAGCTTTGTCAGACTCCAATGAACATATTCTTTTAAATGGTAAGGAATCAGGTGGGCCGATACTTTTATATTTGAGATAACCAATTTTATATTGTTCTTAAAATCTGTCACTACTGTTCTTTTAATTCTAAGATACACTCACTATTATTGACAAGTATTAATTATATTTTTGCTGAGTTTGCTCTGGACATGGGTGCATTAGTATTGGTGAGAGGAGGATGGGAATTAATGAGTGCTGGAAAGGAGAGAAAGTCACCACGTGGAGCAAGTTGGGTCTACTGTGCATTTATCAGTAATACGCCATATGTATGGACATTCATTCTCGAAGTGTCACATAGGTGAGAAGTATTTTTAAAGGAGTATTTTTAGATGTAAGAAAAGCAAAAAGTAAAATGGTTGAAGAGAGACTTCCTCAAATAGAAAACAAGCGCCAAAATACTGAATGGATATAGCAGAATATCACTTTAAAATAACTCTTTTGGGGATGGGGTGGGGATAATCAATGAATCCATATTTAGTAGTATCAGTTTTACCTGCCAAGTGAAATTTATTTGAAAGATTTTTAATTAGGTTGGAAGTAATCAAGGAATATAACGAACATTGGTATATGAATGTGATTTCTAGACCTTTGACTATAGGGTAAAGGTGAAAAATGCTACTCTTTTTCATGTAGGGCATTATTTTAATTTAATTGTGTATTTTTGCCAAAGGAAAAGCAAATTATTAACACCTTTAAAATATTTTTCTTAAAGTTGGACATGAGAACCAAAATGATAGAAGCTAAATGTCATGAAGAGAAGCTTAAACTTCAACAAAAACATGATGCTGATGTTCAGAAGGTAGGGTATATACAGTTTATTCTTTTATTAATATTGAATATTTGAAACATTCTAGGTCTTGTGATTATTTATCTATCCATCCACCCACCCATCCGTCCATCTACCCACCCACCCATCCATCCATCTGTCCGTTCATCCACTTATTTACATACTTGTGACAGTCTGTTATAAATGTAATTTACTAAATTAATATTCCAGCAAAAGTTGATTTTTAAGCTTTATTTGCTAAACATATATGTTTATGTAAATTCTTACAGTTTTTATTATTTTTAGTTCACCTGTAAATATTTGTGTTTGTTTTGGCCTAATATTTTTTTCATTTTCTGGCAATTAAAATGTCCCTTTCGTCCTGGCCAGTTTGGCTCAGCGGTTGAGTGTCGGCCTGCGGACCAGAGAGTCCCAGGTTCAGTTCCCGCTAGGGGCATGTACCACCAAAAAAAAAAAAAAAAAATGTCCCTTTTAATTTGAAAAGGAACTCTTGGACTTAGTTCCATTTGGTAAAGACCACATGCCAGCACTGACAGTGTTGGCTTCTTTTTTTACCTCATTGATATTTATGCCTTTCAATGTTTCTATGTATTTTTACATAAAATTAATTTTTCTTTTTAATGGATATAGAAAAAAATAATCAATTTATGGTTATTCTACATGAAATTTGAATCAAAACTATATTTTAGTATGATTTTTAAAAATTAGCAATATATTTATATATCTATACATCTATGTGAATATATATCTCTCTCTAAATACGAACTTGGCATTTACTGTTTCAAAAAAGCGAGCTTATGACTGCTTCACAAAACTACGTTACAGAAATGAAGGCTGGGACTTGAGGCCACAGTGTCACATAGCTAAGCTTTCTTAAATGCTAAAATATGTTACTATTTAGTCAGGTGCATATTTGGCTCATCTGTCAAAGCAGCAAGAGGAAACCACTGATTGAAAACTAGAAAGAGGAAAAATATTTAATCCTTTTTCTTCTCCTTTCCCCTCTCCCATTCAGATTTTAAAGGCAAATACTACTTTCTGCTCTTACTGGAATTTTACCTATGTTTAAATTGGTTAGATAAAAACAGTTCTCTGTCATAAATATATTAGAGATTTAGTAATATAATTTCAGTATAACATGTGTTCAAATAAAATAGAGTCTGTTGTTGTATAAGATACAGGAATATAAAATATATATTTGGAAAAATCATGGTAATAAGAGTTTGAAATAGGCTTCTTGGTGTGTCTGTTACACAGATCTATTCGAAGAAAAACTTTTAATAATAAAATCCTTTCCAGAATTTTCTTTTTTAATATAAATTCTGTGTGAAAAAGGAAAGCAATGCAGCTAGTTTGAAATGCCAGGTAAAATATAAATACAGACCTTGACCTTATGCTATATCTGGAAAGTATATTCACCAGTCTGTTGCTTGTATGGCATTTCCTAAGTGTCAGGAATTGGGGAGGAACAAAATATAGGGTGTTTTATCTATTTGCCTACATTTTTTCCTTTTCTTTCTTTTTGCTTCTTTATGGATGTTAGGATCAAACTAGCTCCTTTTCTTATTTACCGACCATTCTTACAGGTGGGACTAAAACAATGAAAGGCAAAGTGAAATGCTGGTAATAAAAGCACTAAGAAAAAGGTGGTTAGACATTGGTGAATAACCTTTTTTTTTTTTTTTTAGCTGACTTTGGGTGTATATAAAGTATACCTAACCATAAGAAAAGTGAATAATTATTCTCCTGCCTCAATTTTCCCCTCCATTTGGTTAACACACTTTTTAATCCTGGCTTGTTAATTTTTGTACATTTTTATTATTTCTCTGTTTTATGTATGTATGTATGTGTGTGTTTTTTTAGTGTAGATGTATTTAGAAGTATATAACAATCATGATTAAATTCTGTTAAATGATTAATTTTAAAACTTCTGGCCCAATATAAATTCATGATGTAAAATATTCATGCAATTTTGACATATATTGAGATGATTTTTCTGATTCACAATAGCAGGACTAGATATAAAAAAAAAGCTTATTACCTCTCATCTTCCCATATATCTGGGGATTCTTGTTATTGTGCATGAAAATGATAGGATACTAGTGGGAAGACTCAGAGATGTGCTCATCTGAAGATATTCTGTTCCAGTGCAGTAAGGAGGTGAATTGTGCTATCCCAACGTGTCAAGTTTTGATGGCTTCTCCCTGCTACTTTATGACAGTTTAATCTCTGAGTTATATTTTAGAGAATCACCTAATTTATTATTTATGATCTCCTTAAAGATTGATACATGAAAATTAAAAGCAGATAGCAGATATCTCTTTCAATAATCATTTATTCTAGCATATTTACTATTTTCTCAATGAACTAAAATATAATTTTTACATCTTTTATGGGATTAGCTGAGATAGACTTGCAAAAAATACTGTGCTCATTTAAAAAATTATGTGTTCTGTATGTCAAACAACATAGTATACTAAAACAGTTGAAATTCCTTTGCAGATTTTAGAAAGAAAGAACAGTGAAATAGAAGAATTGAAAACTTTATACAAAAAGAAACAAAATGAAACAGAGGAAACTATTAGAAAACTTGAAAATAAAGGTGAAGTTGTATCATTACATAAATCTTAATAATATTTCCATTTTATTTTAGTGGTTATACAAAGTGAGATTTTACCTCTGACCTTTGTAGTATGAGAGAGCAATCTTTACGTGGGGTTCCATCAGTGGATGTGTTTATGAGAACCTTCATATGAGTGGGGTAAAACTCTGTGTGTGTGTGATAGTGGTGGTTGGTTTGGGTAAGGAATTGGAAGCATCTGTCACTGTTACTTCCTCTTCTTAATTCTGCCTCCTTATTGGGCTGCTATAGGTCAGTCACAGAATTAGAATTTATTGATTTTAACAAAGAAGTCTAGGGAAATTATTCCTCTTGGCCTAATAAATTCATTACATTAAGTATCTAGAACACCCTGTTGTATATGCTAGTATAGTGATGGACAGAACAAACATTTAAAAAGTATTCCCCATTTACACTTCCATTAAGAAGGAAAAGAAAGCATGATCAAGTGTTAAATTGGCTGTGATTATAAGTCAGCATCTAAGGGCAACAGGCAGCCTTTAGAGAGAGTGTTGGAAACACTTTTGGGGAAAATAACTATAAAAAATTTTCAGGTGCTGTAATAGGAATGCTGATATTGTTAAGTTTTGGGAGGGATGCTGCAAAACCGTGTAGCTAGAGTGGATATCCTACACTTTAAAAGACAGATTGAAATAGATAAGATAGGTAGGTGCCTTGGCATGCTTTAAGCATGATCCTGAATTTCAGATTTACAAGTTTCAAGTTTATTCTGTAGATTCTGTGAAGGCAGAGAAGATTTTTGAGAGGTGAGTTTTAGCCTTAACTTTCAGGAGAGTAGACTTGTAACGGTGGGTGTGCCACCACGGTGAGGCCCAGTCCCAGTCCGTTGTAATAGTCAGAGGGAGAATAGAGGGAGAGGGAGAGAGAGCATTGCATTTACTAGAGGTCAAGGCTCTAACCCAGACCTGCTATTCAGTGTCTGCTGTGTGACATCAGGAATTCTCTGGACCTTGGCTTACTCATTATAAATGGTGAGGTTGGAATAAGTAATGCATCAAGTTTCTTCCAACTCAAAGAGTTTATGCTTTCACGCTTCTGTAATTTTGCATATAGGGTGATAAGGACCCAGAATATCTGAGTGATGGAAGTAGGTGTTCTGAGGATGGAACTGAAGAAGAAATTTTGAAGGATTTGGTGAATGATAAGATACAGGCAATGAGTAAGGGGAAAGGGGAGAGAGGGTTTTCATTTAGGTGTTCCCATATAGAATTTACTGGTTCTGTCACCAGCCACCAAACTTGAGTGTATTTGAGAGATCGTAATGCCCTTGAAATTTAGGATGGCAATTATATATATAAATTACCTAATGAAATAGGTATTTTTAGGTTTATTCACAGCCTTAAATGTTGGTTAGAAATTTGTTCAGGTTCTTTCTCCAAGTATCAATGGCTACAAAAATATTTTAAATTTATTTCTAGGTTTTTGTTTCTCAGCCTGATTTAAACCAGGCAATTTAAATATGCGAAAGGTTTAAAAATAATATTTTAAAGACTTTTTGAATTGCAAATAGATCTTAGTTTAATTTTGGGATTGTGAAGTAAAATGTTATAGATGCTAAAGACTAATATTAGATTCACTTGAATTCTTCTCTTTCTCCCATTAATTTGTGACAGAGTTGAGATGTAAGAGTGAAAGAAATTTCTATGTAAATGTTTATGAAAACTTTGCTATCGTTTTTTGAGGAACAATTGACATACATTATATTTGTTTCAGATGTAACACAGTGATTTGATATTTGTATTTATTGTGAAATGACTGCCACAATAAGTCCAGTTAACATCTGTTACCATTCATAGTTACAGAATTAAATTTTTTTTTTTATCCTCACCTGAAGACATTTTTGCATTTATCTTCAGATAGAGCAGGAGGGAGAAAGGGCGGAAGAGAGAGAGAGAAACATCCATGTCAGAGAGACACATCGAGTGGTTGCCACCCACACGACCCCAACCAGGGCCGGGTACAAACTGCAACTGAGGCATGTGCCCCCAGTGGGAACCGAACCTCGGTCTCTCTGGTCTGCGGGCCGATGCTCTAACCACTGAGCAAAACTGGCGAGGGCCAGAATTAAATTTTGGTGTCTTCAAGTAAGTGAATAAGAACACATTCAGCAAGCTAAGAAAATAATACATTTAAGCAAACATACAAACTGAATTTAGTTTACTGTCCAGATGACATGAGTATATTAAGCAAATTTTTGCTGAAATCAGTGACAGTTAAAATAATTTTTAAAAGATTTTATTTAAAATAAATTTTTAAATAGTGACTTATAAGGGAAATATTTTATATTATTTAAAGAAGATTTCATTTTAGTAACAAACAGCGGCAGTGATTTTCAAGTGCCTAGGAGCATGGATGTAGTGAAATGGCTGGCTCCCTACCTTACTCAGCACACTCTGAGCACTTGCCTGCGTGGCACTGTTGTGCTCTGTAGACGCAACACTGAGATAACTCTCCCCTCGGGAAACAGGCACGTGAACCATTATAACACACACTGCAATAGGTGATTTAATGGAGAAATATATGAGGTCCCTTGGGCATACAGAGGAGGTTCTTTCTGCCCTGTGGGATGAGGAGTCTGGTTGGTGAATGGTTCACAAAGAAGGTGATACTGGAATTGGGACTAGGAATTAGTAGGAGTTTTTCAACAAGGGACTGAAAGGCATTCCGGGTGGATAAATGATCATATTTAGGCAGTAATGTATGAGGTTTTGGCTTTTATCTTTTAGGTGAGGGGAATTTTTTTTTAAGTTCGGGAGTAACATTAATGAATTTGTACTGTAGAAAGGCCTTTTTAAAAGCAACAGAGGGCCCATTGGTGGAGAGGGATAATGAGGACAGGGCACTGTCAGAATGGTCCAGGGGGTGAGTGATGATGGGTTCCGCCAAGACTGTGGTGGAAATGGAGAAAAAGGGAGGAAAGAATAAGATACTTTATAAGAGAGAATTGTGAAGACTCGGTGAAAATAGAATTATCTAACCAGTACACTATATTTTTTTCTCATCAACCTCTTATGTGGTAGTTAGAATTGGTTTAACTATGTTTTTATCATTTTTGACAGTTCAGACCCTTATACGTGACTGTCAAGTTATCAGAGAGACTAAAGAAAACCAGATTGCAGAGCTTAAGAAGATATGTGAGCAAAGTGCAGAGTTTCTGAATAACGACTGGGAAAGAAAGGTAAGCTGCATATCATAAGATAGCAATCAGAAGCATAAAGGTGTACCTTCCAAGTCACATTTAATTATGACAATAATGGATGTTCACAGAATATACAGAAAGATATATTCACAGAATATATGGAAAGAAAATTAAAAATTTTAGATTTGGAATAGCTATTATTCATGTTTTGGTATATTTTCTTCTAGAAGTCTAATGATTCATAAAGTAGTTTGCATTTAGAAAACTTACTTTCGACTAATTCTTGAATTTAATTAATGTTCTGAATATTTTTGTCAGAGCCAATAGATTTCAAGAAAAATAAGCAGGAAAACAGAAATAGGATAATTTTTGGAAATTGAACTTCAAAATTTTTGGATTTAGGCCATTGCGTTATTTCTTTCCTAAAATTTTAGATAACATAATTACAGTATACTTGTTTTTGATGTAAACAAAATCAGTAGTGGATGGCTTATTCTAGGAGGAGCATTTAATTTAAGTGAGAAAAATATTTTCATATAATTTGGCAGTGCCAAGAGTATGTAATGAAAATACTCACTGCGAACGAGTTTTCCCTGGTCGTTTAGCGCTCTCCCTTAGGAGCCCTTCGCCTTAGGGATTAAATGGTACTTCCTTTGAGCTACTCTGTGGTAAGATCCTCAGTGAATTCATACTGAGACTCTCTCAATTAGTCCGGGTTGGAAAGACTTTGCTGACGACGGCAAGAGCCTTCCCAGCAGACTCGGTGTGAAGGGTGTGCTGGTGCCGCAGCTCCAGGATCCGTCCGGGAAGTGCTGCAGGTGGACTAGGGGGGGTTCCTTGGCTCGCCTCTAGTTTCACTTTGTTAATCGACATGGTTTTTCTCTTTCCCACATTTTGTTGCGTATTTTCTATGAATTTGTCATATATTTGTGCTTGCTGTGGGTATATTGTGTACACGGCAGGCCCCATTCCCTAGTTTCTTATTTTCCAGTTTAAGTTGTCAGGTATTTAAAAAATCTTCTGCTTTTTACTGTATACAGGGGTACATTCTATTCTTTCAGCTGGATTAGTAAGTCTTTCTGACAGTTACTCAAAAATTAGTGGATGTGAAAACATTGCAAACGTGGTGGGAGGTATTTTTGTGAAGTCCGGTTGCATGTCAGTCTAGGCAGAGATGAAGACCTGGTGCAGGCAGGGTAGGTACCAGCAATTAATAAGAGATGATAGATTTACTTTGTGATTTCTGCAGTCATTCATTAACAACTTATTAAGCATCTATATGGACAAAGAGATGTGATATTCCCTAGTAGAAATTTCCATCTTACACATCTCTCTTTAAATCCATTATCCAGCTACGTGTTTAAGATCGCTCCTCGATCTGAATTGCCATCATTCTCCCCAAACTCCGTCTTCTTCCTTTGTTACTAAAATAGTTTCCTCTGAGGATCCCCTTTATTTCCTCTCCCTCTGGTGTTGCTGTCTACCCAGCTACTCCTCGTTTTGCCTCACCTCTCACCTCTCATCACTTGCCAAGTTCTGTTCATTACACTTGTTTTGAATTACTCACCATTGTTCCTTCTCTGATTTTCGGGGACCATCGTCTGTTGCCTGGATATGCTGTAACTGGACTCTGCACACCCACCCCTTTAGTCCGTGACCCACGGTACAACCACGTGACGATCTTTCTGAAACACAGATCCGCTTGGCCTCGCCACCGGGTTGCAGTCACTGCGGTGCTTCCTGATTGCCCTCAGGGTGTCCCAAGCTCTTCCTGATCGAGCCCGTGACCTTCCAGCCTTGCCTTTTGTCAGCCCTGCCCTCCTCGGACGTTTGTCCTGGCTGTGCGGAGCTCTCCCCAGTGATCTGACTGTCCCGTGCTGCTTCTGATCCGGGGGTGTTTTAAAAACCGAGTTATGATTCATGCACCATACAATTTACCCTCTTAAAATGTACAAGTACAGTTGAATGGTTTTCATATAATCACAAAGTTGAGCAACCATCACCACTGTATAATTCTGGGACATTTCTGTCACTCCAGAAGAAACCTTATGCCCATTAGCAGTCACTTACCATTTCCTTTTCCTCCAGCCTCCTGCACCCATTACTCACTTTCTGTCTCAATAGTTTTGCTCATACAATCATGCATTATGGGGCATTTTGAAACTGGCTTCTTTGACTTACCACATTTTAAGTTTTACCCATGTTTTAGTATTAATTAGTAGGTCAGTTAGTATTATGGCCAAATAATATTCTATTGTATCCAGCAAATTCACCTTTTTGTGAATTTGAACTTCAGTCATTTCATGAATATTTGAGTTGATTCAATTTTTGGGTATCGTGAATAATTTTGCTATGACAGTTTGTGTACAGGTTGTGTTATGGGCACATGTTTTCATTAATCTTGGCTATTATATAGGGAAGAACACTGCCTTATTTTCCTTTACCCACACACTCAATACTTCTGACATCGGATATATTGGTTTTCCACACATTCAGTACTTCTCTTTTATTTATTTATTTATTTTTCTTTATTGATTTTAAAGAGAGAAGAAGGGAGAGGGAGAGAGAGATAGAAACATTAATGAGAGAGAACATCAATTGGCCGCCTTCTGCATGCCCTCCATTGGGAATTTAGCCCACAACCCAGTCATGACTGGGAATTGAACTGGCGACCTCTTGGTGCATGAGTTGATGCTCAACCACTGAGCCACACCAGCCAGGTTTCAGTAATTCTCTTTAACACATACTGGAAGTCCTATAATTCAGTTAAATCTTAACACTCTGTATTTATCTAGTGTTAGCGTCAAACCCCACAAATGAAGGGCTCAATCCCATAAGACTGGCTCCACTTCAGGTGTCAGTCGAAAGTCCCAGGTTGTTACCAGTACTTCTGATCAAGAGACTGTAAATAGGAGTTCCCACGCACCCTTCCTTGGGTTCTATGATTTGCTGGAGTGGCTTACAGACTTCAGGGAAACACTGTGTTTGCCATCTAACTGTAATGGCTGTGATGAAAGATGCAGAAGAGCAGCCAGGTGAAGAGACACAGATCAAGGTGTGTGGGAAGGAGCACCTCTCTCCCAGCACCTCCATGTGCTCACAGCCTGGAGCTCACCGAACCCTGTACTTTGGGGATTTTGTGGAGGCCCCATTACATAGCATGATTGATCATAAACTTAATCTTCAGCCCCTCTCCCCTATCCGGAGGAAGAGAGCTGGGGTGGGAACTTCAGTAGGCACATTGGCATGTGGAGTACACCTGAGAAAGCACTCTGTATTAATGGGCTACTAAACACAGTAGAGTTTTGACAGTCAGTAGGCATATGTCCTTGGACCTTTGAGAGACCATAAGTGTGAAGAAACCATTGCTACATAAATATAAACAAACTTCTAAGTGATTTACTCAGAGTGTGGAGTTACTATGCCCATCAGTTGACAGCTACAAACCAGCACTGAAATTTAGGTGCCATGAGCATGGCTACATTCATGTACCAGTGAAGTGACTGACTTTTGAACACTAGACATAACATCAGTTGAAAATGTGTATTTTGGCAAAGATACAAATAGAGCATAGCAGGGATTTTGAGGATCAATTACAAGTAGTCAAAACAGCCCATGCTAAATCTGTGAAACCTAAGGGTCTTCGGTGTGGCTCTTACTGAGACGTCCTCCCTCTTCTTGTGCAGCTGGGAGCTAGAGACGTTCTTGGGGTCCTGCCAGCAGTTGGCATAACCAGTGCTTACATTCTTCCGCTGGTTTCCACCATCTCTCAGGGTCCCTGTTCATTCAGTATCTTCTGTGTCAAACAGGAATCTGCAGCATATGTCATACCCGTTCTCTCTCCTGCTCATGAGTGGGAAACCACGTACATCTTTTAGACTTTACTGAGTGAACCTGGGGTTGGATGCAGAGGACAGGAGTTAGACTCAGAATTCCACTCCCATTCAGAGAAGCGAAGGAATGTCTACAAGGCCGCGAGTACAGAGTTCCAGTTCCCTTTGGAAGCTATACCTTAGTTACATAGATATTCAGAATACAGTCTTGGTGAAGAAAGACCTGTATACATAAGGACATACAGTATACAGTTTTATTTTATTTTATTGATTGATTTGAGAGAGAGAGAGGGAAACATCAGTTTGTTGTTCCACTTATTTATGAATTTACTGGTTGCTTTTTTTTTTTTTTTTTTTTTATCCTCACCTGAGGACATTTTTCCATTTTTTGTTCAGATAGAGTGGGGTGGGGGGATGGGGGGAGAAACATTGACGTGAAAGGGACACATCTAGTGGTCGCCACCCGCACGACCCAACCAGAGCCGGGAACAAACTGCAGCCAAGGTACGTGCCCCCAGTGGGAACCGAACCCGGGACTCTGGTCCGCAGGCCGATGCTCCAACTGCTGAGACAAACCAGCCAGGGCAGTGATTGCTTTTTGTATGTTCCCTAACTGGGGATCAAACAGGCAACCTTGGTGTATCGGGCCAATGCTCTAACCAGTTGAGCTCCCTGGCCAGGGCCTAGCAGACAGTCTTAAAGAATTCTTTCTTTATTTGATTTATAATGTTGTCTTTGTGTCCACTTTTGTGTACATTATGGAATGGATAAAAATAATTTCTTGTTGGGGGTAGGGTGAAGGAGAAATAATTTTTAACATTACTCTTGTGCAAAATGTCATGCAAATAATATGAAAATGCAGACAGTGAGATAATCAATAATATTGTAAAGATTTCTGTGTGATTTAGTGTTGTTTAGGTGGGACATTGTATTATTTGTTTATTTACTGTTGCTACCGGAGGTGTATAATTCTCTTTAATATTTGTTGAGCCATTAAAATCTCCAATTCAGGAAAATAAAGAAAAAAAATAATTTCTTTGTCATGCCCTTTATATGCTACCTTACTTTGAATGTTTATTTATGAGTTTTATATCTTTTGTTGTTTGGGACACCATATAAATAAATAGAGAAATATAGGAAAACATTTTTTCTGAATTGCAAACTAGTCTACTTTATAATCGTGATGAAGAGCCCGTCTTCCTTTCACTGTGTAGCTCCACAATGCCGTCGCCGAGATGGAGAAGGAGAAGTTTGAACTTCAGAAGCAGCACACTGAGAACATTCAGGACTTGCTGGAGGACACGAACACCCGTCTGAACAAGATGGAGGGTGACTACATGGCACAGACCCAGTGCACAGTGAGTCTTCTTTCTCTTCTCTTGGCATTTTGAGAAACTAACTCCCCCCTCTTGTTCTCCATGTCTCCCAGCTTTTCCGATGTGTGCAGTGACTAAGTAAGTGTGACACATGTGCCAGTGGACAGTCTCTTGAAGTAGCGTGGTTTTCACTCTGGATTGTTTGAGCCCCCCTTTATTTAATGCCCAGAAACCGTACAGATCTTTCTTCTCATTTTTTCACTGACTTTCAATCTAGAGATAATTTTTTCTCCCTCCCTCCCTCCCTTCCTTCCTTCCTTCCTTCCTTCCTTCCTTCCTTCCTTCCTTCCTTCCTTCCTTCCTTCCTCGCTCTCTCTCTCTCTTTCTCCCTCCCTCCCACCTCCCTCCCTTCTTTCGTTTTATTCTTTTTAACTAAAGACTTGAATGTTTTTCTGAAAATATGTAATACTAGTGTGAAGGCAGCGGGGAGGTAAGAGCGGTGTCTGTGACCACCTGAAGACAGATCTTGGTAGAGTCATCTTGACTGAAGGACTAGACACAGTTATCACACGGGTAACCCCCACGTTCCCTTCCTGTGAGGATGCGGAAGGAGGTGACCGTAGTACCCAGCAGGGACCAGGGAGGATGGAGGGTCCCTGAAGAGCCCTCACAGAGCTCCTAGGGGAGAGGAGAGGGCTGAATGTCAGCAGCCTCTTAGATGCTCAGCTGGCCCTAAAGCACACAGCCTGGAGAGGGAGGCTCGTGGCCTGCAGACCAGGACTCCCATCCAAGGCAAGTGCACCTCACCAGCCTTGTTCCTATCATATGATATGACTTCAGGATGGCAGGGCCTTGGGTCCCACGCATGAACCCAGTCCTCGTTGACCGTACACGGCCTACTCAGCCCTGCCTGGCTGGTCCAAGTGTGTCCTTGAGTTTAAAGCTGTGGAATTTGAACAAGAGTCAGTTACCCAGACAGATTTCAGAGATCCTTAGACCAGCTCTAGGGCCTGTCTCACAGGGTTAAAAAGTGGGAAGCCAGATCTGCAGTGAGACCTATCTTTGGATCTTGGTGGAGAACAAACTTTAGGAGCCGAGAGTGGGAGCGGGGACACTATTAGGAGGCTGTTGTAGTTGTCCAGGCAAGCGAGGTGGTGGCTTGGACCTGGATGTCCATCTAGAGGTCAGGACTGGCGAATGATGGTGCAGGTCAGAGAGATAGAGAAGGCTGAGCTAGATCAGGGTTATTGGGGAAAATAAAGAATTTATTTTCTGGATAATCAGTATAATGATGATATTTAAAGACATGGACAAAAGCCAAATTTATATCTGAAATACATTTTTGTCATCTCAACATCCTAAATTTTCACAAATGCGAATTAAATATATTAAGTAATTTAAAGTTGAAATTTCTGGAACATGTTGATTGCCTAAAATGCTTTTGCACTGTTATATATTATTAAACAATATTAAGAGGACAGTATTTTTCATAGTGGAATTTTTAATTTTTATGAATTTAGGATGTAAAAAAAGTGATACTTTGGAGCCAAGAGGTCACTGTTTAAAAAAACTTCAATCTATTTTTAATGAAAGTTGTATTTTAAGATTAGCATTCAGACCTTGTCATTAGATGAGAGTAAATACGGAGGAAAGTGGACAGCCTGTCAGCAGGACGAGTTCAGGAGCCATCACACTAGACAGCCCTGCAGAGCAGTTCCTGGTTTCATAGCTAAGCAAGGCAGAGTTCAAGGCCAGGCCGAAGATGAAAGAGGAGACTGACGCTGACGATTAGCTTCTCGGTTTTGTTTTTCTTCCAGGCTTTTTTCTTCTGTTGAGTCTTGTTTCAGTGCCGTTTGCTGTGAGCAGCTACAGGTACAGGTTATTAGATTTATGACTTTTGGTGTTGGTAGGGATTCTCTTGTGTGAAACTCGTATTTGAACATGTAAACACTGGATTTTTAAAACAATCTTAGAACTTATAAATATGAATTATAGCAGAATGACTAGACACTTGGGGAGGTGGAGGCTGCAAAACATCAGGCTCTCTCGGTCAGGGTTAGACGCGCCGAGTCTGTGGTGGCCTCGTCAGGACTTCTGGCTTTCTGAGCAGGTTCTTTATCTTTTTCTGTATCACGGGTCCCACAGGCAGTTTTGTGAAGTCTATTTAGTCCTTCCCAGAATAATGTTTTTTGTTTTGCTAATCCTCACCTGAGGATATTTTTTTCATTGATTTCTTAGAGAGAGTGGAAGGTAGGGAGGGATGCGGGGAGAGAAAGAGAATGAGAGAGAGAGAGAGAGAACCATCAATGTGAGAGAGACATTGATTGGCTGCCTCCTGCAATGCCCTGACCAGGGCCGGGGATCAAACTTGCAACCCATGAACGTGCCCTTGACTGGGAATCGAACCCATTACCCTTCTGTGTGTGAGCCAACACTCTAACCACTGAGGGTCACCGGCCAGGGTCAGAATAATATATATATATTTTTTTATCCTCACCCGAGGACATTTTTCCTTTTTTTTTTTGTTCAGATAGAATGGGGAGGGGGAGAGAGAGAGAGAGAAACATCGACGTGAAAGGGACACATCGAGTGGTTGCCACCCTCACGACCCAACCAGGGCTGGGGACAAACTGCAACCAAGGTACATGCCTTTAGCGGGAACCGAACCCGGGTCTCTCTGGACCGCAGGCCGACGCTCTACCACTGAGCCAAACTGGCCAGGGCCAGAATAATATTTTTAAATTTAATAAAATATATAAAATTACAAAGAAAAGAAATTATATTGAGTTACAGTTGTCAAAATGTTAATAAAAGTTGTGACAGAGCAATAGACATGCTTCTAAATGAATGCAGCGTACATCACGCCTCAGCGGTGGGCCTGTTCACTATTCTTGTAACCGATGAGTCGTGATGAGGGTAAACGCTGTCCACTGGAATGGACTATGCAAATATCTGCAATTTGTTAGGCACAGGTATTGCTAATGCTGCCTTGGTCTGTTGACTATATATTTATGACTGAAGGATGTGCTGCAGGTCAGTTAGGAGAGTGAAAATAAAGATAATCTCTCTTTTCCCATTCAAATTCCCCCCTTAGAAAGTATCAAAAGGCCTTAGGTACCTGAAATATTTTGTTAACCATTATTAACTATTATTTTTAGTACTGACATGAAGTAATCTATAGAGCAACTTATCTACTCTCTGATATAGCTAGAATTTCTCATTTTATAGTCATCGCCGGCATTTCTTCTCCCAATGTACAGTTATAAAGAAGAAACTCCTTAATAGCACCAGTCCATCATTTTGAATAGGATAACCATTTTATTTTTTTATTTTTTTTTTAATCCTCACCCGAGGACATTTTTCCATTTTTTTGTACAGATAGAGTGGGAGGGAGAGAGAGGAAGGGAGAGAGAGAGAAACATCGACGTGAAGGGACACATCGAGTGGCTGCCACCCGCACGACCAACCAGGGCCGGGGACAAACTGCAACCGAGGTACGCGCCCTTAGCGGGAACCGAACCCGGGTCTCTCCGGACCGCAGGCTGACGCTCTAACCGCTGAGCCAAACTGGCCAGGGCAGGATAACCATTTTAAAGATAGACTTTATTCTGTAGAATGGTTTTAGATTTACAGAAGAGATGAGAAGACAGTACAGAGGGTTCCTATACACTTAACCCCTGATTTCCCCTCTTAGAAGCATCTTGCACTATTTGGGTGCATTTGTTACAATAAATGGATTTATTCAGTTTCTTTAGTTTTTACTCAATGTCTGTTTTCTTTTCTAGTATCTCATGCAGGATACCATATTACATTTAGTGTTCATGCCTCCTTAGCCTGCCACAGTGTCTCAGCTTTCCCTTGTTTGCATGACCTTGACAATTTGAGGAGTTCTGGTCGGGTCAATTGCAGAATGCCCCTCTGTTGCATTTTGTTTCATGTTTTCTCATGGTTAGACTGGGTCTCTAGGTTGAGGCAGTAATATCACAAAGGTAAAGTGCTAAACTCATCACACCATATCAAGGGTACATTCTGTTAATGACTTATCACTGGTGATATTAACCTTGATCACCTGGCTGAAGTATTTGTTAGACTTTCCATTGTAAAGTTACTCCCTACTCGTCCGTGTTATCCTCTTCGGAAGGAAGATGATGTGTGCAGCCCATACTCAAGAAGTGGGGAGTTCTGCTTTCCATACTCAGGGGTGCAGTTTCTACATAAGTTATTTGGAGTTTTTCTATGTAGGAGATTTGTCTCTTTGCCCCCATTTATTAATTTATTCAATCATTTATCAGTATAGACTCATGGATATTTTTTGTTTTATACTTTGGGTTATAATCCAATACTACTTTATTTTGCTGCCTAAATTGTTCCACCTTTGGCCATTGAGAACTCTTTTGTTGGGCTCCTGTATCCCTTTTGACATACTCCCATCAATGTGGATCATATGGAGAATGGTATTAGAGACTAAGATCTCTGTGGTAGGTATACCCATTACTGCTGGGGTAGCATATTTTTATGCCCTCTCACCTGACAAAGCAAGGGAGTATATGTATTACTAACCTGTGTATCTATGCATATCTACAAACAGTTCTCTATATATAACCATCTATATCTACTTTAATCTGAACATAATTTCTTACTGATGTCTGTAACTCTAATCCATTACCACATGGATTATTCTAGCCTTCTCCCTTTGCATATATGTAAATTCTCAATCCAACAGTGGAAACTTGGTTTCCAACCCCTTCCATCCATTTATTAATTCATCAGTTCCAGTGTACGTGCATACTGTTATCAGAGCTGTTCATCCATACTCCCGTGGGAACCAGCTTTGTCAACGAGAGTACAGTGCTTCTTGCAGTTCCTTTTGCCTTTGGCCTTCGAGACTCCGTTCATTTCCAAACTGCTGAGGCCGTCACCTTTCGCACCCTTCCATTCAGCGAGGTTTCTTCATGTATTTTTGACATAATTGGATTCTCTTGTCACAGTCTGCATTTTTTCCTGGGATCCCCCAAACTCCTAAATGTTTTTTTTTAAATAAGGTTCATTTTTTTTAGGCTTTAAAATTCCATGGGTCTTGCCAGGCCAGAGTGGCTCAGTTGGTTGAGCACTGTCCTGTGCACTGAGAGGTTGCCAGTTCCATTCCTGCTCAGGGCACATACCTGGCTTGCAGGTTTGATCCTAGATTGAGGCACTGATGGAAGGCAACTGATTGATGCTTCTGTCGCACACTGATACTTCTCTCTTCCTCCCTCTCCCTCTCTCCATGTCTTTGGGTGAGAATTTTAAAAAAATTCCGTGGGTTTTGACAAATATATCTTGTCATATATTCATGATTATAGTATCATATATAATACTTTCACTTTCCTAAAAATCACCAGTGCGTCATTCTGTTTATCCTTTGTCCCTCTCCCTAGAATTCCTGGCAACCACAAATCTTTTGTACTAACTGTGTAGTTTTGTATTTTCTAAAATGTCATATAATTGAAATCTCACAGTACGTAGCCTTTTCAGACTGGATTCTTTCATTAAGAAATTATACATTTAAGATTTTTCCATGTCTTCTGTGGCTTGATAACTCATTTCTTTTTTTTTTTTAATTTTTTTTATCCTCATCCAAGGACACTTTTGCATTTATCTTCAAAATAAATAGATAGAGAGGGAGGGAGAGAGGGAGAAAGATAGAGAGAGAGAAAGAAACATTGATGTGAGAGAGAGACATCAACTGGTTGCCACCCATACAACCCCAACTGGAGCCAGGGATGAACCGCAACTGGATAACTCATTTCTTTTTATTGCTGAATAATATTCAGTTATATTGATATACCATAATTTGTTTATCCATTTACCTATTGAAGAGTACATCTTGGTTGTGTGCAGTTTTTTTTGCAGCTATGGATAAAGCTATTCTAAACCTTTATTTGTAGGTTTTGTATGGTTCTTTTTCTTTTTTTTTTTTTATCCTCACCCGAGGACATTTTTCCATTCTTTGTTCAGGTAGAGTGGGAGGGAGAGAGAGGAACAGAGAGAGAGAGAGAGAAACATCGATGTGAAAGGAACATATCGAGTGGCTGCCACCCGCACAACCCACCAGGGCTGGGGACAAACTGCAACCGAGGTACGCGCCCTTAGCGGGAACCGAACCCGGGTCTCTCAGGACCGCAGGCTGACGCTCTAACCGCTGAGCCAAACCGGCCAGGGCACATGGATATTTTTCTTTTCTTTTTTTCTTTATTGATTTTAGAGAGAGAGGAAAGGAGAGGGAGAGAGAGATGGAAACATTGATGAGAGAGAGAACATTGATCGGCCGCCTCCTGCATGCTCCCTACAGGGGATTTGGCATACAACCTGGACATGTGTCCTGATTGGGAATCAAACCGGCAACCTTTTAGTGCATGGGTTGATACTCAACCACTGAGCCACACCAGCCAGGGATGGATAAGTTTTTCTAATCATTTGTGACTCAGAAATTTTATTATGGGAAGTACAACCAAAATAAATAAGTACATGTATGTAGCATAAAACATGTATGAAACTGTTCATAGCAACATTATTTTTAACAGTCAAACACTGAAAACAACCCATGAGTAAAAGTGATAAATTATTTCAGGTTACTTGCACAATGGAATACTGTAATAGCCTTGAAAAAGTTTAAACTGCTAAATGCCTGATGTGGATGAATGTTACAGACACATAATATGCATGATGAACCTGACCCAAAAGAGTTTATACTCTGACAGAAAGTTCAACAAAAGGCAAAGTTAATATTTTGTATTAGAAGTCAGAATAGTGGTTACCTTTGTTTGTAAGATGACCAATCAGGCTTAGAGCGGCTGGTGATGTTTTACATCTTATAGTGACTCATGGGTGTTTTCAATTTGTAAAAAGTTATCAAAATATATAGTGAAGATTTGTGCATCTTTTTGTATATATGTCATATTTCAAGAGGAAGTTTATAAAATAAGATAAAATGTGTTGTTCCTGCCCTGGCAGGTTTGGCTCAGCAATTGGAGCGTTGGCCCATGGACTAGAATCATGGGTTCGATTCCAGTCAAGGGCATGTACCTTGGTTGTGGTTCATCCCTGGCCCTGGTTGGGGTCGTGTGGGAGGCAACCAGTCGACGTGTCTCTCTCTCATCGATATTTCTCTATGTCTCTCCCTCTTCCTCACTCCCCCCTCTCTCTGTCTAAAAATAAATGGGAAAATATCCTTGGGTGAGGATTAAAAGAAATTGTGTTGTTCCTTTTGCTATAGAAGTTGAACTTTGGATTCTAAATAGCTGTCAAATACTAACCCTTTTTAATTTTTGACTCTTACAGGATTTCAGTTTGTATATAAAACTTCTACATTTCTTATTCGGTCTGTTGGTTGTATAACTGAAGGCCCATTGGATATTTTACAATTTCCTAATACTTGTTGAAAATAATGTCTATATTTTCTATCAAAATAATACCCTTTTCTAAACTTTCTCTTAGTTCTCAATGTGCCAATTCTCTTGGCATATCAGATTTTGAATCTGAAAGATGTATGATGTTTGCCACTTCTCATCTCCATCATGTAGTATTTTACTTAATCATATTACTTACTTCTCTGAGAGTTTTCTTGGGTCTCTCTTTCCCTTCTGTTTCCACAGCTACCACTTGAGTCCAGGCCATTGTCGCCACATTCCGGGACTCTTCCGGGAACCTGCTGGTAGCCCTCCCTGTCTCCTCTGTTCCATCGCTCGTAACTGCTATTTGTCCCATTTTCCCATGCCCGAGAGCTTGAGTTACAAATCTAATGCCTATTATAACTACTGCTTACAAGCCATGTCCACTCAAGAACTCCAGTCTAGTCTTCCGAGTGCTACCTTTCAGTTCGCAATGTGGGGACGTGGTCTCTGTACCCAAGGTAATGTTTGTCATCAGCTGACAGTCACTGTTCCTTCTCTAATCTCTTGCTCTCCCCTTCTACACTGTCACTTACAGCCTGGAAGAGCGTTCTCCATCAGCATCTTTTTTTTCTGAATAACTCTATTTTCCCCATTTTGAGGCCTCCACTATTTTTTATCTCCTCAGTTCTTTGTATTCAGTTTAAAAAAGATTATTTTGGCCAAATATTGTTGTTGTCCTTAAAGTACTTCATATATGTCTATAGGCTTTCTAAATTTTTAAAATTTCCTTAGTGCTTACTTTGTTTTGTGTAAGATACAATGAGGGTTAAGAAAATGCTTTAAAAATAAATAATAAAAATAAGTAATAAAATGAATAACTGTCATCATATATTTGCTTCATGAATGAGAAAGTTGTATCAGTATATATTAAAGTGCTTGTTCAGTAAATATAGATCTCCATGTTGAGGACTATTGATGTCATGGATTATATTAGTTGATTTTTGAATGTTGAACCAGCTTTGTATTCCTGGGCGAGCTGTTCTTTTTATTTATCTCATTGCTGAAGTAACCGGGCGTGCTCTCTTCGTACCTGTACGATGCCAGGGTCCCTTTTCCAGACAGGTGCTCTAACCAGCGAACCACGGAGCCAGCACTAGAATCCCTTTTCTAATTACACTTACCGGAAGTGTAATTTTAAAATGAAAATTAGTTGATCATTTTGTAATGTATATAACATAACGAGTCACTGTAATATATACCTGAAATAAATAAGATAGTGTATGCCAATTATACTTAAAAAAAAATCATTATCCTTTTAGCTAATGCTTGCTGACCCTAATTTTAGATGGAATACATAGTCATAAACACATTTATTTAGTTCTATAAAGATGAAAAATTCAAAATAACAAATATCAAATAGGGAATTATTTATTATGTGACAATTATGAAGACTGGAAAATAGAAGTGCTTTTTAAATAAAATGATAAGTAAAGAATAAAACAAATGAAAATTTATTCACTAATTGAAACTAATAAAATATTCCTATACACTTATGTGATAATACACGTATCACATATGTCATAACCCCTGTATTAAAATAATCGGATTGTGAATTTTCTTTTTTTAAAAAATTGGTTTTAGAGAGAGAGGAAGGGAGACAGCTCGAGAGAGAAGCATTGATGTGAGAGAGAAACATCAATTAATTGCTTTCCATACTATCCCTGACTGGGTATTGAACTTGCAACTAGGTATGTGCCCTGACCAGGAGTCAAACCCACAACCTTTTGGTGTATGGGATGACACTCCAACTAACTTAGCCACCTGGTCAGAGCATGCATTTTCTTTTAAAAATGTTACTATATTGCTTTTATAATTTTTAAAGGTTTATAAAACTTCAAATGAAGAGCGAAAACACTCACCTAATAATATACATTTCTTAAGTTGTATAAAGAAAATATAACCTTCCTGATAGGGACTTCAGTAAATAATTGTTGAATGACTGAATGAATTAACGGATGGATGGATGGATGGATGGATGGATGACTAAAAGCATATAAACATGATGATCTTTCTTTTATGGCAGAAAGCATTTTTTTAAAGACTTGGTTAATTTAGAGGCTGGTTTAATTTTTTTTTTTTTTATCCTCACCAGAGGACATTTTCCCATTTTTTTGTTCAGGTAGAGTGGGAGGGAGAGAGAGGAACAGAGAGAGAGAGAAACATCGATGTGAAAGGAACACATCGAGTGGCTGCCACCCGCACGACCGACCAGGGCCAGGGACAAACTGCAACCGAAGTACGTGCCCTTAGCGGGAACCGAACCCGGGTCTCTCAGGACCACAGGTCGACGCTCTAACCGCTGAGCCAAACCGGCCAGGGCTGGTTTAATTTTTTATATGGTTATGATACATTTGTTTTCTGTATTCTTATCTCTGATAGGGTATATATTTTCTTCAGGGTACTTAATGATACTGAAGAGTTACAAATTCATTTGGAGGCTTTTTTAACAAGGATCTATTCTTTTAGAACCAGATGGTCAAAGAACTGGAGGCCCGTGTCCAGCAGCTGACTGGAGAAGCAGAGAACAGTAATTTACAGAAGCAGAAATTAATTCAAGAAAAATTGGAACTTGAGAGATGTTACCAGATAACATGTAGTGAGTTACAAGAAGTAAAGGCAAGGTATTGTCTGAAGTCAGATATCTCTCAGGTGTAGCTGTAAAGTACTGATATTAACTCTGTAAAGTATCTGCCACAATTAATCACACCTTGGACCTTAAACTTGGGAGGGTTCCAACGTAAATACTGCCATTTATTTATTTTAAAATTTTATTTAATTTTTTAAGTCTAACATAAGAAGCATAATGCTTTTAAAAAGTTGATAAAATGTAGATAATTATTTGATATGTTGAAAGATAATGCATTTGAATTTGGTTGACTAAAAAATTCCATTCTAGGAATTGATTTGAAATATATTGGGAGTATATTTTATTCTCTTACTGCTTTTAGGCGCAATACCCTGCATAAAGAGAAAGATCACCTTATAAATGATTATGAGCAAAACATGAAACTATTACAAACCAAACATGATGCTGATATGAACCTTCTGAAAAAGGAACATGCCCTTTCAGCTTCTAAGGTATTATATATGTACTGGTATATATACATACAAAGTAATTTACTTTACATATGTATAACATATAAAGTACTTATTTACTTCACTCAGCTTATAGCCATAGGTGGCCATCTAGAAACTATTTGGCCTTGGAAATTAATCTCTCCTTTGCTTTATTCTTGAAATAACTGAAGTAATTTGTTTGGCATTTAAAATACAAAATGTCTAATGTATAAGATGACATAAATATTTAATAAACTGAGTTCTGCCATAATAAATTAACCCTTGTACCAAAGTTTTTAAAAATGAAACAAAAATCTGAAATGTTTAGTTGTGCTAATAATATATTTTTAAGGTGATGCTATGCATTATCATTATCATTATTATTATTATTATTTTGAAATCTTGGTTATGCTTAGTTTTCCTGTCATACTATGCACATGTGTGAGCCCCCAGACACCCCACTGGCACTCACACACTTTGTGTCCGAGAATTGACACTTTCTGGAAAGAGAATCCCAGAGCTACAGTTCTCGGGTAGTCAATTATGTGGTATTTCATGAATTAAATGTTCCAGTGGATTTGGTTTTAAAATTAAAATGTCAAAAGATTTCTGTAAAACCAATGATTTCTTCATTACTATTATATTTACATAATTTTAAATACTAAACAGAACTTAATACATATTTTTACTTTAAAAGATGAATTTTTTGCCCTACCCAGTTGTGGTCAGCAGTTAGAGCATTGGACCCATGGACCAATGAGTCACGGGTTCGATTCCAGCCAAGGGCACCTACCTCTGTTGCGGTTCGTCCCTGGCTCTGGTCGGGTCATACAGGAGGCAGCCAGTCGATGTGTCCCTCTCACCTCGATGTTTCTCTCTCTCTCTTTCCCTCTCTCTCCTTTCCTCCCACCCACTCTATCTGAAGATAAATGGAAAAATATCCTTGGGTGAGGATTAAAAAAAAAACAATGATAAATTTTTTTACTTTTTTTTTTAAGCCTCACCTGAGGACATTTTTGCATTTATCTTCAGAAAGAGCAGAAGGAGGGGGGAGAGAAAAACATCGATGTGAGAGAGACACATCGAGTGTCTGCCACCCACACGACCCCAACCAGGGCCGGGGACAAACTGCAACCGAGGTACATGCTCTTAGCGGGAACCGAACCTGGGTCTCTCTGGTCTACGGGCTGACGCTCTAACTGCTGAGCCAAACCGGCCAGAGCTAAATTTTTTTTTTTTTAATCCTCACCTGAGGACATTTTTCCATTTTTTGTTCAGGTAGAGTGGGAGGGAGAGAGAGGAACAGAGAGAGAGAGAGAAACATCGACGTGAAGGGACACATCGAGTGGCTTCCACCCGCACAACCGACCAGGGCTGGGGACAAACTGCAACCGAGGTACATGCCCTTAGCGGGAACCGAACCCGGGTCTCTCAGGACCACAGGCCGACGCTCTAACCGCTGAACCAAACCGGCCAGGGCCAGAGCTAAATTTTTTTACTTAAAAAAAAAATCATTTTAAATTCAGATGTACAGATCATTTTAATTTTGATTGAACCCTCAGAGGGAAAAAGGTATATTTATTCAACCAGAAATTGTAAAATGGTACAAAAATCAATATTATTTTTTTTATTATTATTCTTGAAATCCTTCTAGACATCTGGTATGATTAAAGAACTAGAACAGAATATCTGTCAACTAAAACAGCGGTTACAGGATTCAGAACTTCAAAGAAAGCAACAACTAAAGGTGAGTCTTGTATTTTTTCACAGAATAACGGTGGGTAAACTCTCCTGTTTTGCCCTGGCCAGTTTGGCTCAGTGGTTAGAGTGTCGGCCTGCGGTCCGGAGAGACCCGGGTTCGGTTCCCGCTAAGGGCACGTACCTTGGTTGCGGTTTGTCCCCAGCCCTGGTTGGGTCGTGTGGGTGGCAACCACTCGATGTGTCGCTTTCATGTCGATGTTTCTCTCTCTCTCTCTCCCTCTCACTCTATCTGAACAAAATATCGAAAAATGTCCTCGGGTGAGGATAAACTCTCCTGTTTTTTTCATGTTTTATATGTACAGATAAGAGTAAAAAACCCTTACACATGTAAGTAGCCAGTCTTTAATTGCACTGTCATTTTTCTTCTTATTTATTTTTAACAAAAGTAGATGCTAATGGGATATAGAGTAAAGAATAATAATTTTAACTTGAATAATTTTTCTTTACCTGAGGACATTTTTGCATTTATCTTCAGATAGAGCAGGAGGGAGAGTGGGAGGAAGAGAGAGAGAGAGAAACATTGATGTGAGAGAGACACATTGAGTGGTTGCCACCCACATGACCCAACCAGGGCCGGGGACAAACTGCAACCGAGGTATGTGCCCTTAGCGGGAACCAAACCCAGGACTCTCTGGTCTGTGGGCTGACGTTATAACCGCTGAGCCAAATTGGCCAGGGCGAATAATCTTTCTTTTGAAATTAATTTTTAAAAATTGTATTTAAATATATTTACTTATTTATTTATTTTTGACATATAATTGACATACAGTATCTTATTAGTTCCAGGTGTATACCATAGTGATTTGATATTTATATGCATTAGGAAATGGTCCCTAATAGGTCTAGTTACCATCTGTCACCATACAAAGTTACTACACTGTATTTCCTATCTGTACATTATATCCCCATTACTTATTTATTTTATAGCTAGGAGTTTGTAGTGCCTCTTAATTCCCTTCTCATCATCTATTTTGCCCACCTCCAAACCCATTCCCCTTTGGTAAGTACTAGTTTGTTTCCTGTATCTATGAGTCTGTTTCTGTTTTGTTTTATTTGTTCATTTATTTTGTTTTTTAGATTTTGCATATAAGTGAAATCATATGGTATTTGTCTTCCTCTGACTTATTTCACTAAGCATAGTACCCTCTAGATTCTAAGAATAATTTCCTCCCTTTGAGTTATTGTCTGCCATCCTTATAATTTCTCTCTCTCAGTCTCTTTCTCCCTCTCTGTCCCTCTCTCTCTCTTTCTCTCACACACACACATACATATATACATACATACCGTTTAGATCTTTCCTTTTCCTTTATGGTAAAAAAAATGCCAGGGATTGGTATTATATGGCATAACTTTAAATTTATTGTTTCTATATTAATTCAGTTGGTCAGTTTAAGTAATCTCCTAATCCTAAGGGTCAGAAAGTTTCTCTTCCACTATAAAGTACGTACTTCTAAGAGTAGTAATATCTTCAGATAATTAAGGTTTTATGACCTCTGACATAAAACTAATCATATTTCTATTTGTAGTTTAGAAAATTGGACAGGTAGGGTGCTCTTACTAATATGCAAAACTCAACATTTGTCATCAAGCAGATTTATTTCTTTCATTAGATACTAATTTTATTAACTTTAGTCAATTTTAAGTATAATAAAAATAAATATTTGTCATTCACAGGATCAAGAAAATAAGTTTCAAATGGAGAAAAGTAATTTAAAACGCACCTATGAGAAAAAGGTAATATATTTTGTGGGAAGATACATTTGAAATAGCAAATGAGGCAATTAAGAATGAGGGTTGATTTTTATAAAGACATGTATTCTAGCCCTAACAGAATAATTTATTTCTAAGTTTATTTCAGCTAGCCAGTAATCAAATTTTGCTTTTTTATATTTTATATTAACAGCTTCAGTTCTGTGATTAGTTATATCAACATTAAAATACCACTTGTATGTTATATTTAACAAGCAAAGAATATACTGTAAATGTTAACCTGTCATAATATTACTATAAAATTATGTTTTCTCGCTATCATTTAAAAAATATGATACAATTGATGGGAGTTATTTTGTATTCTGTTGTATCATACGTATACTAAGAACTCTTAAATATTTAACCAAAGAATATAAAACAATGAGAGAGTTGTCTACTAAAAAATTGATTACTGATTATTTCTTGTCATTTAGAATAGTGAATATTTCTCCTGAAATAAGCTGGTATCCCTGTCATCAGTAATAACTGGGGATTCATTGACATACCATTAACACCTTTGGCAATAAAGTGCAGAATTCTTTACTTTGTGACTTCAGTTTTGAATTTCTTGTTTGCTGTATAGCACAGAAAGTAAAAGAGTAGTTGAAATATCAAAGGTTTTGTTACTGCTTTTGTAATTATTTACTGTTCTAACATTTACCAAATTAAGCCATTTGTAAAATATACACATAATAGAAAATACAAAAAAGCTTAACCCTTCAACTAATTAAAAATACATACAGCCCTGGCCGGTTTGGCTCAGCAGTTAGAGGGTCGGCCTGTGGACCAGAGAGACCTGGATTCGGTTCCCGCTAAGGGCACGTACCTCGGTTGCAGTTTGTCCCCGGCCCCAGTTGGGGTCGTGTGGGTGGCAACCACTCGATGTGTCTTTCTCTCTCTCTCTCTCTCCCCCCCTCCCGTTCTATCTGAAGATAAATGCAAAATGTCCTCAGGTGAGGATAAAAAAATACAAAAATACATACAAACTAAAATTAAACAAGTTTTATAGCACAACATTCTTAAAAAACTGTAATATCACAGCTTATCAGCTTATCTATTCATATAGTCACTCAGCAGATATTCATTAAATGCTTTTACTGGGCACATATCATACTAGGTTTGGGATTGGGGAGAGGGGGAGAGGATGAATTAGACATAGGTTCTATTCTCTAGGAACTTAATGTTTAGGAAGAAGAATGTTTCTGTCATTTGAAAAAGTGGGTATTTCTACAGACATATATTGATCTGAATGTGTGCTCTTTAAAACTATAAAAAGTTTCTTATTGTTGAAGATTTTTTGTGAGTTTTTGGTTTTGTTTTGTTTTGTTTTGCTGCAGCTTGAATACAGCTCAATGCAAGATCTTAAATATAGTTTATGTCTACAAAATGGTATCTGAAAAGGAGAGGGAAATATTACTCTCACTGAAATACAGAATTTTTTCGGTTTCTGCTGTTGAGCCATGCAGCTTCATAAATATTTTACTTACCAGAAAAAGACCATACATTGTGCTAAGCCTCACTGCCCACTGTATAAGGCAGCCACATCCTCTGGGTGTACTTTTTAGTCCATTGTTCATTCTTTGGGCAGATATCTGGCTCCCGTCCACTAAGGAACACCTTCCTGGCCTCCCGCTCCTGGCCTTGCATTCTGTGGGCAGCCCTCTTCCTGAGAGATGGTGTCTGTGCACCTGTGACACAGAGAGGGCTGGGAGCCAGCAGAAGCACACACTACGTAACTTTTAAAGAATGTACTCCTATCCCAGACTTCTTTAAGTTCTACTGAGGACTTAGCTGTAGAAATAGAGCTCACAAGAGTCTTCCTCTACCACTACCTTTGCTCGGTGTCTGTCTCACCTCCTAGATGAACCAGCTCTGCCTAATGCACACACACAAGAGACAGAATGGCCGAGCCCAGTCCATCCTTCTCCAGAGACCTTCCCACCTTTCCTGCTCTGTTCACTCGGAGCAGACCGACACCCTTTCCGCTGGGCAGCGTGTCTGCAGCTTGCCCCTTCCGGGAGGGATCGGTGGGCCTAGCTTTTTAAAAATGGAACTAGTTAAAGTGTGTTCATGGTTTGTAGTATAAATAAGGCACGTTTAAAATAATAGCAACCTTTAAAAGAAAACTAAGCGTATTTGTTCGTGTTGCGTATGTTCCCATATTGGAAGAGAAAAGGCTGCTCAGCGTGTCCCTTTTTGTTTTACAATTAATTCCATAATCTCCCCCTTTTAAATTGACATCTGTTCTTCTTTCTTTATTAAACCTGCTGTGATCTCAGTCCTTGAAGATTTGATGTCTTGTACTCCCCTCAGGGAATATCCCTTTTGACTGCTCAAAGAGCTGACATAAATCTCGCATAGCCCTGGCCTGTGTAACAGGATAGTGAAGGGGGATGTGTAGGGCTTTTGTTTGTTAGTGCTACAGGTGTGACAGGTGTGCACATTCAATAACTTCGGGCGTAAAACTCAGTCCTGAATATCTGTTCAGGAGGAGGAAATGCCATCTGAGTGAGATTATTTCCTCATGCCAATAAGAAAGCAGCATGAGACATCTTGGATTGTCTGAGGTCAGAGAAACAGCATCAGATGCTGTCCCTGACTTAGGCGCATGCACATTATCTAATGGTCTTTATTGATCTCTGGTGGCTGTTGCCTGCTCTTAAGATCTTTGAACATCAAACAAATAATAGGTAGTAAAACGAAATGTCATTGTTTGATGAAGTGTCCTAATCTGTTAAATCAGGAAATGGTTTGGCTAAATGATTTTACTAGCAAGGAAACACCTGCCTCCTACAAGTAACCTACTGCTTGTTTTCCAAACAGCCACCAGAGTAAAAGATGGTGGTGTTTACCTAAAGAAGTTCATGAGACAGATGTTAGGCATGTATATGCAAGAATGGGCTAGAATTGAAATATTTACTTAGAACTGTAGATGTAACTGTAACAAATGAGATATAAAGCCTGATGGCATTCGGATCACCAGTTATTCCCATATTTAGTATGCATTAATAATTCTTTTAATTAGGTTAGAAATAACTTAAAATTTCCACAGCCTTACACATAATATATTGTGCAGTATTTTCCAACTACTACTGGCACAATCTTATTTAAGACACACGAGCCTCTTGGAGTCTTTAAAACAGAATCTGTGCAGTGAAATGATTTATGGAAGTCCTGCAGCCCAGTCCCATATTTTCATGTTGGGAAGTAGAGGTGGGAGCAGCTGAGCTGCAAGTGTAGCGGCCCCCTAGTGGATTTGCTGAGGGCAGCAGCCGTCTGGGCTCCGTGTGCCAGGATGTGTGCACATACGTTTTCTCGTGCGCAGCAGAATCCCTTCTGATGTCCGCAGGTGCTCACCCCTTGTTACTTCAATTCTTAGGGGAAAAGGGAGTAAAATAAACATTTAGTAAATGTTCAATAAATGTGCTTATGGCTCCTTACATCTTAAATTATTTAAAACTTAAATTGTTTACAACATTCTCATGTTTGAGAATATATGCTGTATCTGTGACTTTCTGGTTTGTTTTTCATTATTTAAATTACTAAAATTCATTTTTGGTATTAACGATGTATAGTGGGAAAGAGTTACAAGCAAATCAGCTCAAGCCTTATTCCTCACTGCCATTAGTACATTAAAAAGGAAAGTATCAGTTCTGTTACCCACAACTATCTGAGACATGGGCAAAAACTAGAAACGTAATCTGAAAAGGTCCTTAAGTACACAATGCAAACATATTCAATTACGAACAAACAAACAAACCTAGGACAGTATTTATTGACTGTTCTAGTGAGAGCCAGGTATGGATTGTGCTGAGTGCTGGGGATATAAAAATAAATGAGAAACAGCTTCTAGCTGTGAGGAACCCCCAGCTCAAAAGTCTGTGCTCTGACACATGCATGTTCAACTCAGAGGGAAGTCTCTGCTTCTCCCATTCACGTAGTTCCAGTCCCGCCATAGAAATGGCTCCAATAGTTTCAAGAGCATAAATTAGATCAAGGTGCCTGAGTGACACACTGACCACACAGCAGAAAGTGGCCGCTGAGAAGTTGACAGAGGTTAAGAGTGAATTGCGAATGATAAAAAGCATTTGCAAGAACTCAAAGTTCTTAGCAGTTCAGGGACATTTTTGCAAGGGCAAGCCATCCATCTGTGGAATCTCAGGAGTGTGGCAGACTGTGATTTTGAGTGTTCACAGTGACCTTGAGGTTTCAAGAAAATGTGTACAGAGTATTTAATCTGAGAAGGTGATGATAATAATCTTTAACAGTTGTTGAGCATTTATTATGTTCCCAGTATTGTTCGAAGAGCTTCACACGGAGTAACATTAGCTCATCACAATTTTTATATACTCCCTGTTATCTCCGATTTTCAGACGAGGCAGCTGAGGCACAGGGTGCTGAGGAACTTGTGAAGAAGCCCCCCCCCCCATGTCTGACTCAGAGCTTGCACTCATGATCACCATTTAATTTTAGATTGAGTTTTCCCAAAAGTGGTTCACCTTTTGAAGTTTTCACTGAAAGGGGTAAATCTCAATAATGTTGTCATGCAGTGTTCTGAGTCCCAGAAAACAGTGGAGCGGAGCGCAGGGGACACCCTGCTAGCACAGCACGCCCGAGGCACCAGCCCAGCGTGCACGCCGCCCTGGCTCATCAGAACTTCTGGAGCGGCTCCTTGTTCTTCCACGCGCTGAGGCATCGTCCCGCACGGAGGCGGCTGTGGGCTGCAGGAGGACTCCTCCTCCCTGGAAACCCCAGGCCCTGGCGATTTGCTGGGAACTGGATTTCAGCTGCAGCTCTGAGGAGACCACACTGGAGACATTACGGAAACGGGGTTGTGCCCCCTGTACTTTTGTCAAGTACCAGATCTTAAATGCGCTCTTTAAGAACGAGTTAGAGAAAAGTCAAAACGGGGTTTGTGGCAAAATGTAGTGGCGCCAAGGCAAGAGAGCATTACTCAGAAGACTCGCAGATGGGAGTTTCTTCTGGAAATGGGCTGCTCCCCAAGAACACATCAAGAAATTCATCAGTAGAGCAGCAGGGAATATGGTGTCTGTGACAGAGGAACAGATTTCATAAAGAAAGAAAGGGGTGAAGTGAAAATGGGGGTTATTGTCATCAGAAGGACGGTAGGGAACCTACAGCACAATAGCAGAGTTCAAGTCCTCACAGGAGCTGGACCGCGATCGGACGGGTGTTGTAAAGAATTAAGTCGGGACATTAAAGGCAAACCATTATTTTTTAGACTGCAAAGAAAAATTTTTATTTCAAAATAAAACATTTTGAAAAAGATGACAGGTATTAAGGCAGAAAAATAGAAAACCAGTGTACAACAATCGCTATTTCTGAAGGGGAACTCAGAATAAATGAACACAAACATAATTAAAGATATGAGGACACTTTTCTGACGGTCTGTGTATGCAAACATTAGAAGAGCCACCCTGTGTCAGATAAAAATCAATAAAAGATTAAAATGCATTTGAATTGCAAACCAAAAAAAAAAAGATCTTATAAAAAAAAAGATCAGACAAGGGTGAGGGAGAGCAAAAGTCAGGTGGCCTTAGTCTTCTTAGTTCAAATCTAAATTTCACGGAAAGCAGAGTGACATGTGGTGTTTTTAAGCCAAAATGTTATGACTCAGGAATCTTGGGCACAGACATTCCTTTGTGTATGAAGGCTACAGAATGACATTCTTGCATATGCAAAGCCTCAGAGCTATATCACTCATTTTCTTTTTGAAAATAAAATTACTAGATGATGTCCTTTAACCAACCTAAAGATAAGCAAAAATTCAAATCAAAACAAAACAAAAATTACCCAAGAATGAAAAAAAGAAGTATTGGTGAATGGCTAAATTAAAACAGTGGTGACTTTAAATGTTTATTGTGCACATAATACAAAACGATGCCAACGTCAGGAAAAAAGTCTTGAGCGAGCGATGTAAAGTTAAAGCAGCATTAAAACAACTGGATCCACATTCCCAGAGTCTATGAAAGGAAACCAACGTGGCCAGGAGGAGGAAAAGGACACATGTGCTAGGTGTTTTCTAAAAGATAGAGCACAGAAGTTAATTTTCTCCTGCTAATATTAGAGAAATATGGATTAAAAATAATTCTGAGATCTTTGTAGTACCACTGGTGAAATGAAAGACTGTCACTGTCAGTCTGTCAGAACATGCAGGACTTAGGAACAAAAACAGCCAGATAAAAAGGAACATAAACTGGGACATGTAAAGAAATATGAATATGAATATTCGATATAACAGCAAATATTAGATTGCTGGACTCTATCACTGAACCCAAACCTTCTCTAAGGCATAAGTATGTGTCAGTTTTCCATCCTCGGGAGCTGACTTTAGTATTTGTTATACAGTAGGTGCTTAAATAAATTAATGTGAAGGCAAATCAGATTGTCTAGGGTAATTTGTGATATGTAGAGAAATGTTTGTTATACAGTTTTTGGTAAGATTTTTAGGTACTCTAGGTAGGAAGTGGGAATAACAAATATAAAGAACTAAAACAGGAAGAAAGGAAGGGAGAAAGGGAGAGAAGGAGGGATGGGGAGGGAGGAAGGAAAAAACTGTAGCTTCTGTATCAAAACTACATTTACTGGACAGACAACAGTGCAGTGAAGGCGGTGGGGGTGGGAGGGGGCGGGAGCGGGGAGGAGGGTGTCAGTGGGGGAAAAAGGTGGGACAGCTGTAATACTTTCAACGATAAAGATAAAGACATGTACTTACTCTAAATTCCGAGATCATTTCACATGGAATCTATGGCTAAAACAAATGGGCATGTACTGGTAAAGTGTTATAGGATAGGAAAAAAAAATAAAAGAACATAAAACTAGGAAACATAAAGAAAATATTAATATGAATATTAGATATCAAAAATTACAATCTCCCTTATTATAAAAGAAGATGCAAAATTTGGGTCAAAAGCCAAATCTGTGTGAAATTTCCAGGAGGCTGAAAAGTAATTAACAGAGAAATATTAAAGCTAAAGAGTAGGTCAGTGTATATAAGTGGCTCCAATGGACAGTCATAGATGAAACATTTACTGTGCTGATACTAGTTTCTGCCCTTAACCCTCTTCCCTCTGTCATTCCCAAACTTCCACTCAAATAGATTTGCTTTCCTTTGTGACTTTAAGTTAGTGTTTGGATTTTCACTTAAGATTTTATTTCAAGAAAGGATTTTACTGGTATAAAAACATATGTTTCCAAAATGTTCGTTTTAGTTTATGTCTGAAATTAATTTTGAGACTTGAATTCCTTAATTCTATACATGAAAGAGAGCAGATCAGTGTTGGAATGGTGCTTCTGTTGCTTTAATAATATAGTCACTCCAATTTAGGAAGCCTACTGTGTGCCAAGCACTGTAGCACATACTAGGGATCCAAGAAAAGTAAGACAGTAATTTCATTCTGAACCCCATAGTATTTTGGAGAGTAGATCCCCCCTCCACACCCTATGTAAAGTAAAATAAATGTAATGGCAGGAATTTGCAATGCATATTAGTTGCTCTTTCTCTTCCTAATAAGGTTGGTATTTGTGAGGCATTTTGATTTTACCATTTAAAAGATGGGAGAGGGGCTCCTGTCTCCTGATTCTCCTGATGGTCCACTCTCCCCACCACCAGACATGTTCCTCTCTGCTCTGTTCTCACCTTGGTGTTTGCCTTCGTAGCAGCCAGCAGAGCCCTTGTGTTCTCAAGGAAAACTCCTCTCTACCCTCACTTCTCTCAGTTTACAAGCAGACATTTTATGTATGCATGTATGTATGCATGTATGTGTGTATGTATGTATGCATGAATGCATGTATGCATTTTACTGAAACACCAAGGGGGAAAGCACAAGAGAATTATAAAAGGAACAGGGCAAAGAAGATAGGGTTTTTGAGTTAACAAATCTCTAGCAAACTATTATAAATAGCCAACTACAGGTAGTTTTGTCCAGCACCAGTTCATTTGGGAAGATTTGTGATGTGTGTGTGTTGTTGGCTTTGTTCTTGTCGTCCCTCTCCTATCCCATCTACCTAGCAGTTGTGCTTTCAGCCTCACCTGGATTGGCAGCAGGTTGTAGCTGGCTGGTATCTGCACCCCTCTAAGTGACTCGAGTTTCTTTCCTGCCAGCTGTTCTGCACCCTCAGTGGCCATGTAGGTGGAACCATGGCTGCTGTTTTACCCCTCCCTTTCCCTCCAGCTGTACCAGTTTCCTTTTTCTATTTTTAGATCCACTTCCATCCACCCTGGGTATGCTTATCAGCATTTGCATATGAAGAGTTTTCTGTGAAGCAAAAATTTCATTTGTTATTATCATTCATGCTACAATCCCACCTACTCAAAGGATGCCACATTTAGGAAAGAGATACTGTACTCATGGTGGGAGACTTCCTCCCAAACTCACTAATAGTTACAGGGATCATGCCTGGAAGAGAAGACTCATCACAACCTGTATGTTTGCGAATATAGACACGTTATTTCTTGTATTTTCCTAGATCTCATGAGATTCCTTTTCTTTGGCTAATACGTACTTTTTAAAAAAAAGTTTAAGTGATTCCTCCCTTTTTGAGTTTTTTATGCATCAGTTTATTTTACAGGGAATCCACACACAGGTAGATTCAAACAGTTATTAACTTGGCCAGAAAATTGGTATTGGAAGTAGGATATTGAAATAATTATATGGTAAATGATTATGGTTAACACAGTCTCTCTCGAAATATCTAAATCTAACTTTATATTAAAAATGGACTTAAGATTGCAGTTTCATTGTTCGTATTTTCCTTTAAGCAAACTTTTCTTGTCTTCTAATAAATTTTACATGTCTTGTCATGGCAGGTTCATGACTTGCAGAGTGAGCTTGATAAAGAAAAGGAAGATACTCAAAAGAAAATCCATAAATTTGAGGAAGCTTTGAAGTGAGTTAAATTCTAATATATTTAATTTTTAAGATATGCATATTCTAAATTGTGAGCCAGATTAAGTAGCTAGAACCTAAACATCCTATTTTTATAATAGCCTTGCTGTGGTTTAGTTTGAGTCAGTTTCCGTCATGAATCTCTATTTTCAGAATTTTATTGCTAGCCGGTAATTTTTTTAAAAAAAGGGAAAATCACTTAGATAGGAATGTAAGAAAATAGAATGTAGTAGTTTCATATACTTTCTTCTTAAATGAAAACAGGTTTAAAAAACAGTAAGATTTAGGTCTTAGAACATTTAGAAATTCCTCTGGATTTTTTGGAGAAATGTGGATAATGAAATCTTACAGTCATATTTGAAAATGAACTACTGTACAGGCATTGTTTAGGAAAGGTTTTGTCTCATGCTATAAAATTTAAACATGCACATTAGAATATTAGATTTTATTTGTCTTTTCCGTTTGTTGACCAAGTTGATTAAGCCCTATTTATCACTAGGTTTTACCTTACAGTTTTTATATGGAAAACATTGATTTATTCAATAAATACTGAGTTCCCGCCATGTTACAGGCAATGTGCAGTCCCTTCCCAGAGGACCTTATAGTCTGGATGGAAAGATATTCAAGAACTTGAGCAATTATACCACGGAGTGATAGAACTTCAATGGGAGAACGGGTCACAGGGTACCTGACCCAAGAAAGTGATTCAAGAAGGGATGCTTCCATGAGCTCAATGTGTCTAGCTAACTCCCAGAAAATCAGCTAATTCCCTTTTTCTTGCTTCCCCAAACCTACAAACAGGAATCACTTACAAAAAGGCCGAAAGGAACACCCAGGATCAAACAAACTTGTGTCACATTCTTTCTGGGAAGACTGCACAGGCTTTTCCTCTCTCACTCTGTTAGAATGGATTGGCTGAGTTGCTGAATAGAATATCTTAAAATAATTTGTGTACCATGGCATCACAGGCTATTAATTTTTTTTTTTATTCTTAACCTGAGGACATTTTTTTTTTATCCTCACCTGAGGACATTTTTCCATTTTTTTGTTCAGATAGAGTAAGGGGAGAGAGAGGAAGAGAGAGAGAGAGAAACATCGATCTGAAAGGGACACATCGAGTGGCTGCCACCCACACAACCCAACCAGGGCCGGGGACAAACTGCAACCGAGGTACGTGCCCTTAGCAGGAACTGAACCCGGGTCTCTCTGGACTGCAGGCCAGTGCTGTAACCGCTGAGCCAAATTGGCCAGGGCTCACCTGAGGACACTTTTGCATTTATCTTCAGATAGAGCGGGAGGGAGAGAGGGAGGAAGAGTGAGAATGAAACATCGATGTGAGAGAGACACATGGAGTGGCTGCCACCCACCCAACCCCAACCAGGGCCAGTGACAAACTGCAACCGAGGAGCGAGCCCTGAGTGGGAACCAAACCCGGGACTCTCCGGACCGCGGGCCAACATTCTAACTACTGAGCCAAACTGGCCAGGGCCAGGCTATTAATTTTTCATCTACAAAAGGACTCATTGCTTATTTGTTCACATCACCACGTGTCAATTAGATGAACTCAGAAGAAAACTATAATATTCATTAATCATGAAGTCAAATAACTGTATTTCATACTCCAAGTTGAATAATGGCAAAACTAGGGCATTTTTGCTCTCTTTTTAGATGGGTTGCCTACCCTTTATTCCTCATTAATTCACTTTTTCCTCCTAGTGCTGATAACTACTTTGTTCATTTACTCAATATATTGCACTTTGGTTTCTCTTTTGTTCTACTCTGTCACTGTTCTTTTGTAATTTTATACATTTTTAATTGGTTTGTTGATTTGCATGTTATATCCCTGAAGGAAGAGATAATCCTTTTAAATAACAGTAAATCAACAAATATTTGTTTAGTACTTACAATGTCTACATGTTATAGTATTATACTAAAAGAAATAGAAGGCTTAGAAGACATAGCTCAAGACATAAGGCTGTTTTTAAAGATTTTATAGTCTAGATTAGGCATTTGAAATACTTAGAATACTAGGTATTAAGTTCTTGACCATAAATGCGATAGGAATTCAGAAAGATTTTTTTCAGTGGGGCGTAGGGAGTTCGTGTAAAACAGAATAGTATCTTTTAATGTTCACCAGGAGAACCTTGAAACCTCCATCGTTTCCATGTACAACATACTCAATTACTGAGCCAAGTAACACTCTTGACAGCTTTAAAGGTCTTTACCAAAATACCAAATTTTACTTGGAGTTAAAAATGCTATTTTAGATTTTTAGTCAAACTCCCCTGTAGATCTATTTCTCCCATTCCCTGTGTTAGTGATGTCTTCATTTTGACTAAGAGTATAATCCTGACAATATAACACCTGAATAGCAGGTGTAATGTGGTCTGAAAGCAGAGTGAGTTATTGTGTGGACTGAACTTCAAAGTAAACAACACAAGCTGGCTATATTCCCAAAGGAAAATATTCTTGGGTTGGGGGTGGGGGCTGCTACTGCTTTTAAATCGGAGAATAGAGTTAGACCTAGTTAGTCCAGAAATAATTCTATTTTTCTAAAAGACAGCTAGATATTTTACTTGATTATTAGAAAAAATTCTTAATATATGTACACAAAGGTGAAAAAGCTTAGTTTTAGAATGTGGTGTTATTCATTCATTTTAATCATTCATTCACTCAGTAAGGGCTTATTTGTTCAGTGCATGTTACATTTGTAGTAGAGGATATCAGAGAACAGGAATATCTACATATGAATTCATATCCATAGGCATGGAAGATAAAGGCATTCAACTCAGTCTTTGGTTTAGAGCTCAAGTTGATACTTCAGTACTTATTTTTATTTTAGAGGGACACTGATTTGAAGTCAGCATTTACTTTAAATGCTAACTCCTTAAAGCTAATTTGTCTATTGTTACTGTTTTTCAGAACTAAGACTAGTTTAATATTACTGTCTTGCTACTGTTTGCAATTAGTATTCTATACATATCCTAAACATTTTGCTTCCTATTTCATTTCTTATTGTAGATAAATTTTAATAACTTCCAGTAGCTGAAAGTTATCTGAAGCTGTGATTATAAGTGGTATGAATTGTATATGTTCATTTTCATTTCTCAAAGATAAGTAAAGTATATGGAAAACTTAGTAGACTAATGAATGAGAAATAACCATATATAATAAAATAATTTGGTGTAACTCTTTGAAACACTAACACTGAAAAAGTATTTTTTTGAGGAGTTAAAGTTTATAAACAATAGATATAGATAGTGTAGATTTGGTTTATTCCTTTTTAAATATTCAGTGAAACATTCCAAAGTCATCTTTTTGATTGATACCTTTTTCAAAGTCCCCTTTTGCAATAAAATACAGAAATCCCTTGAAACAAATTTATTCTGATCCACTTTAACTTTTTGCATTGTCAAATTGTAAACATTATATATATTTCTACCCTGACACTATATATCTCTATCTATATATCTCTATCTATATATCTCTATCTATATATCTCTATCTCTATCTCTATCTCTATCTCTATCTCTATCTCTGTCTCTGTCTCTAGGCTTTCTGTTTCTCAGTTGGTATTGAAAATACATAGTAGAAATTTCACTAGAACATATAACATTGGTCTTCAGATGATACAGTTATTTATTAATGACTCCACAGGAAGTAAGCCCTTCTTGAACTGGAACATTGTTTTGGATGTAGTTGTTGTATATACCTATATATGTATGGAATTTCTATCTAGAACTCTTCTTAATGCTGACTCCAGACAGCACTATGAGTTTGAAATGCTTTCAAGGTTATATCATTTAAATAATTGATGAATATAAGAAAGGTAAATGATAGTAATTCCTGTTGGAGTTTATTTTGATAATTAAATAGTTTCTGTATTTTTTTTTTTTAGGTTTTGAGTTAGGGTTAGTTTTTTTTCAATTATGGTTTACATTCTGTTATCGGTAGCTCTTTTTTATTGTTTGAAAATGTGTAATGATATTTGCATATACCATTGCCTTTATAAGTACAATTTCACTTGCACATAGAATTTTTAGAAACAAGTTCTTGATATTTTCTTGGTATTTCAGAATGTTCTTGAATTATATTTTTACTTGACCTATTCTGAAGCTGGCTTTTAGTGTTAGTTATACTCAGCAAATGTTCACCGTCTAGTTTATTGAAGTCATTGTATAAAATTAGTTATTTATATAAAAATTAGCAGCACTTCTTTTGTATGACTTTATAGTTTTGTTTAAAATGAGGACATTTATAATGTAGTTGAGGGTGTTATTTTTTCTAACAAACTGTCATAAGCTTTTGAAAATGGTTTTTTCTTGCTCAGTATATATAGTGTTTATAATCTCCCGTTACAGTGGAAAGCAGATTATTTACCCCTAAAGTTAAATTTTAAAAGAAGTTATATTTTTAAACATGAGTGGAAAAGCTTTCCTATAAGGTTCTTTTAAATCTCCTTCATTTATCTTTGGTTGCTTGTTTGCTGTTATAAATCAGCATTTATATTTGTAGGAACTAGGATTAATCTTCAAATAGGAATGCCTTAGAGTAAAGATAATAAAACTGCAAAGTTATAATGACAGTGTTTTTGTACTTTTATTTGCTAGAAACTAATCTTAAAAGAAGATGTGAATGGAATACTAAACAATCTTGTGATAATTCAGGGGAATGGACTACATTTTGATTAGGTTTGTTTTTTTTATGGAGCTTTGCTTACTGCAGAAATGTGGATGAAGTTGCAGTCAAAGCAGATAACCTTCCAGTTTAGCCAGAAGCTTGAATTTTGAATTTTGGTAGAAAGGGAAAGCTAGGTTCAATCAATCTTGTGTAGGAATTTTAAAGTATAGCTAAATAATATAATTCTAAATTTAGTTTTCTATATAGCCAAAGTGATGAACTGTGGCTTGGTCATTTTGTTTGTAAGGTTGGTGAACTATCTCAAGGAATTAATAATGATACATACTTTAAAATGGAAAAAAAAAAAGTGAATTAAGGAGC